TGAGAAGACTGTTGAGTGCCTTCCCCCACCCCCAAATGGCTGGCTGGCTGGCTGGGCTGCCTCCTTGGCGGCGATGCTCCAGCAGAAGGGCTTAAGATGCAGCCATGCTGGGCTGGTCTGGAGTGTGACCTGGGTGCACAACTGCCCGTTTTTGTTCAGTCCAGAGAAGTCACTTTTTACAAGATCATCTGTTTTATTAGGTAAAGGTAAAGGTTCCCCTTGACAGTTGTTGTGGGTTTTTCAGGCTCTTTGGCTGTGTTCTGAAGGTTGTTCTTCCTAACGTTTTGCCCATCTCTGTGGCCATGGGCATCTTCAGAGGACAACAGTCTGAAGATGCCCATGGCCACAGAGACTGGCGAAACGTTAGGAAGAACAACCTTCAGAACACGGCCAAAGAGCCCGAAAAACCCACAACCGCCATTAGATCCCAGCCGTGAAAGCCCTCATGAATGTGTTCCCCTTGACCTTGAGTCCAGTCGTGTCAGACTCTAGGGTGCGGTGCTCATCCCTGTCTCCAAGCCATAGAGACAGCGTTTGTCCATAGACCATTCTCGTGGTCACGTGGCCAGCGCGACTAGACACAGAACACCTGTTTTATTAGGCCTCGCCATAAAAGTGTTCTCTGCCCCAGGTGATTAGTGCTGATGTGTCAATTACTGCGCAGAGGAGGAAGTGCTAGCAAGCCTGTGCCGTCTCTGGAGGATGCCAGGAGTCTGGCGGGTTCCTCCAGAAGGAGAGCAGATAGGTGGGGATAGTTCTGGTCTGTTTTGTTCCCCCCTCCCCTTTTGGCAAAGGAGCCTGTAGACGATTTAGCTGCTAAATAGTCTTTCTGGAGAGAAGCACAGTTTGGGGGGGGGAAAGGATGTGGGTGGCAGCCTCCCCACCTGTCCTCTTGTGCATCTTCTCTGGTCATGTAGCCCCCCCCTCCCCAACTCTTGGAGAATGAAAATTGGGCACATGCATCCGTTAAATAGCCCTGCAAATGGTTGCATGTACGCCTTGAGCGTGGAAGGCGTCCAGGTAATCCTGTCTGGTGGCTTGTTCCTACTCTGGGTGAAATTCTTAGCATTCCTTCTTCCAGGGAAACTCCAGCTTGCTTCACCCCAGGCAGCTTATGTGGGTGGGCTGGAATGGGGCAGGCGGAGAAGAAGGCGCTTGGGCTCACTGGCCTGAATAGGGAGGTGGGGCAGGATGAAATGAGCTCTTTACTGGTGCTGGTCTGCTTATATAACCTGGGCTATACCAGATCAACCAAGCTTTTTGTGCTCAGCAAGGCTGGCTGCCTGGTTGCAAAAGGTTTTCTCCTGCAGTGGCTCTCAGAGCGGAACATCATGAGCTGAGTAAAAAAATTAATAAATTGATCTGAATGATCTGCCTGTGGGGCAGATGACGTGTGGGTTTATTTTAGAAGTGAATCAGATCAGGTGGCTCCTGGACCTCCGGAATTGCAAGCCTTAATGCACATGCGAACAGCCAAGGAAGCATAGCTTTGGGGGAGCCTGAGAGCCCCATCAACCCCAGTCCTGTAGTCCCGTTGGAAGCAATGGGGCATGAGAGGGCCATTATGAGAGGTGCACCGCAGCATCTCCTGCAACATGGCAGCCTCTCATAGGCTTGTGTGCATTCCAGAGGTGTGTTCCAGCGTCCTTTGTAGAATGATTTGTTTCCTTTAAATTGCATGTTTGTTTTATTCGAGTTCCGTTTGATTGAGCTCAAAGGTGCAAACCACTCAAAGAGTACTATGCTCTGTGGGATGGTATGCAAGTTAAATAGATACTTTCAGTCCCCGACTCTGTCTGCTGGATCTAAAGCTCCTTTGTGCATTCCAGAGGTGTGTTCCAGCGTCCTTTGTAGAATGATTTGTTTCCTTTAAATTGCATGTTTGTTTTATTCGAGTTCCGTTTGATTGAGCTCAAAGGTGCAAACCACTCAAAGAGTACTATGCTCTGTGGGATGGTATGCAAGTTAAATAGATACTTTCAGTCCCCGACTCTGTCTGCTGGATCTAAAGCTCCTTTGTCCAACCTGCGGCCCGAGGGCCACATGCGGCCCAGGTCAGCTCGTAATGCGGCCCAGTGCAGGTGAAAGGTTGGACACACCTGATCTAAAGCTTCTCTGGGCCAGCCCTCCTCCAGCTCTTTAGCTGCATCTATATCAGCTGGGCCACTTGCTGGGCTTATTGGCCACAGACATCATGACCTGTGTTTGCAAATTTGTCATCCATGAAAACATACACACAACCCGTGTGGCCACTTGCTGGGCTTATTGGCCACAGACATCATGACCTGTGTTTGTAAATTTGTCATCCATGAAAACACACAACCCGTGGGGGTATCAAGATCCCTGACATACCTGCCTGGCCCATGCTTGATGGCTCAGCATGCTGGGAATGTGGACAGAGCCGGAGTTTTTGTTTGCAAGTGTTAACATTTGCATGACTAGCCAGGGAGTGTCGTCCGCGTCTGCCTTTGGCTCCGATCTCCTGCTGAACTGGGTCTGTGGCTGGTTTCAGTAGTTTTGAAAAGCTTCAGCATAGCTTGAAATTGCAATGACTGGGTCTGTGGCTGGTTTCAGTAGTTTTGAGCTTCAGCATAGCTTGAAATGGCAATGAAGCTCCCCTTCCTTCCACAGAGAATATATGCATTTAGACATTCCCAGTTTATTCGGGTTTGGGAGGGGGTTAGGCTTCTGGAGAGTCCCTTCCAGGTAGGCCAGCTGGTTCCAATCCTGCAGCAGCCAGAGCCTAACGCATGGGTGGTTCCTTGAGTGGGAGGCGTCTTCCACCTGAGCGACTCATAGGCCATTTTAGGTCGCCCAGCGCTCTGCTCTTCCACTAATACAGAGAATAGTGGCAGAAGCTCACAGGCAGCCTGACCTGAGAGCCTTCCTGGCTCTCATGTCTTGCTTGCACGCCGCACCGCCTTCTCCTAGGGAGGAAGCCGGGGGCCTGCCTGCTTGGCTACCAGCTAGCGGCATCAAGAGAAGCTACCTGGGTCTCGTTTAGGTGAATGGCAGGCTAGTTACAGTAATTGCTCCTCAGACTGGTGGAAAAAGCAGTAATGCAGAATAGTCACAAATGGCAGTTGCATGCTTTGGTACCCAATTCTTTCATGCTGGGCCAGTGTAGGAAATAGATGGCAGTCTTTCAGCAGTGGCTGGGAGTAAATTTGCACAATTACAATGAGTGCGCCAGATGCATCTGTTCCTGGAGAGGTCTGATCTGGCCATAGTGACACAGGCCTTAGTGACATCCCAACTGGTTTACTGTAATGCACTTTACCTAGGGCTGCCTCTGGATAGTGTTCGGAAATTTCAGCAGGTTCAAAATGCTGCAGCCAGATTGTTAACTGGGACTCCATAGTCACCGGGATCACGTATTGCAGCTCCATGGGTTGTCGATCCATTTTCAGGCCCAATTCAAACAGCTAAATTCTAAACTATAAAGCCTTCTCTGACACCGTTCCCAGACTTTGGAACTCCCTCCCACTGGAGGCTGACCTGGCCCCTTCTGCAAGCAGGCGAAGACAACCTTTCTCTTCAGGCAGGGTTTGCTTTAGCAAGCATTTACCTGTGTGTGATTTTTAGATACAGTAGATTGCTATGCATGACTGCTTTGTATGTATTTTCGGTGTTGCTTTTTACTGTTTCTTAGAGTGGTATTTGATCCTTTTTTAGTACTGTATTTGTATACTCACTGTTTTTAGCTTCAAATGTTGTCTTTTCATTATGTAAACTGCCTTGGGTTCTTTTTAAGGAGAAAGGCTGGGTAAAAAAATATTATGAATGAATGAATGAATGAAATCTTACTGGCCAGTGACTAGATCTGTGGCTCTGGTGGAATCACAGGCTGCCTCTCGACCGGGATTCCTCCCTTCCCTGTGAAACGGGAGCCCGTTGTCCCTGGCTTCAGAGAGTCATGATGTGAGCAGAGATTTTGTCCTTTACAGGTGCGGAGTTGCTGTTTTTGGTATTGAGAGCAACAAACCCACACAGGGGCAGGAGGGAGTGTGTGTGTGTGTCCGTCCACGCGCACACGCCTGTTGTAGCAACAATGCCCCTGTGTTTTGTGGCACCTAGCCCTCCAGGCTGCCTTTGTCGTGAGAGGCCACTGGAGGAGAGTTCAAAGCCCGGGTCAGGTGTGAGCCTTATCTGAAGGGGCAGGGGGGCAGCCCTCCTGCCCCGGGAGGCAAAGGGCAGGCTGGGCCGGGGCTGGCTTCCTTTTCTCTCCCCGGCAGGCATGGTGTCTCTGCCTGTACCATTGCCCAGGTGTCAGCCAGCAGCCCAGCCCAGCCCGCCTGCCGGTCTCTCCTGGATTTCTCCCAGTGGCCTTTGTTCCTTGAGGGCTATCTGGGGGATTGGGTGAGGGGGGGGAGGTTAGGGGGGGTGGCCCTCCGGTGCAACAGACCTTTCTAAATGGGCTACAGGGGCATGGTGTGTGTGTGTTAAACTTGATCCTCTCCTCCTGCCGAACGGCAAGCCCGCCCGCCGCAGTGGCGTGTGTTCGGTTGCACTGGTTTCCTGTGAGCATTCCTCTGCGGGCTCGTGAAGCAGGAGGTTGGGTCTGCAAAGTTGGTGAGTTCTGAAGGCTTCCTTGGGAGGGAGGGAGGACAGAGAGCAAGAGAGAGAGAGGCTTGGAGTTGCTGCTGGTGCTGCTGCTACCCAACCTCCAAGTAATTTGCTTAAACAGGGATTGTAGGTTAATCCTGGATTACGGCCAGGCAGAACCAGCCCCGAGCAAGGCGGAAAGCAGAGTTCGGTTCTTGCTGGGGGTGTGCCGGGCACCTCTCTGTACGTGCCTGTCCGCTCCTGATTGGCTTCCCTGTTTCCTCTTCTGTTTCAGGACTCCCCGGAGGAGCACACTCACTCGGCTGAAGAAAAGGGGCTGGTCGAGTGGCACCGCCAGGACTTGCTTGGGAGGGCTGCTGGCGGGCAGCGTCGACAGCCGACACAGATCAGCCCAGCCAGCCAGCCAGCCAGCCAGCCAGCTTGTTCTCCGGGCAGCGTCGACAGCCGACACAGATCAGCCTAGCCAGCCAGCCAGCCAGCTTGTTCTCCTGCACTCCTGAGCAGCTGAAGGGGAAGAGAGGGAGGACAGAGAGCGGGAGCTTGGAAGCAGGTGGACCTTGTCCTTGTGGCTGAAGATATTTTTCCGTGGAGAGTTGCAGGGGCTCCTGCAGTTGCTGGGGCAAAGGGGAAGAGGAAGAAGAGCCCGTTCCTGCCCTCTCCTGCCTTCCCAAACCTCCGTGTCTTCTGGCGAGGGCTCACGCAAGGCATGGAAGACCGTGAGCGGCCCAGATTGAGGCCCCTGGGGAAGGAAGCTTCCTAGCATTTTGTGCCGAAACAGCTGCAAGATCCAAAGCGTCTGGTGATCAAGGGGCTGCTTCAGGCAGGAGCCTTGGAGTGGGAGTGGGGGAGTCCCCGGGGGGGGGGGAACAAGCAGGAAGGTGGCAGCGATGGGCAGCTCTTTTTGCCGCTGTGCTGTCAGCTCCTTGCCCTGGCAGAAAGAGCGCTCTCGGGCTCTTGCAGCTCGGGATGGGCCGTCAGCCCAAGGAGACCTGCCGCCCTCAGCATCTTGAGCAGAGGAGGCAAAAGGTGACGTGTCCATCTGGGTGCCGAAATTTCTGCTGCTGCCTGAACAGGGCCTGTTCCCTCCAGGAAGGCCACCTGGAAGCCCGTCTGCTGCCCCCTGGACAGGAGAGATCCGGGAGCTGCTTTGGGAAGCCGGGCGGAGGATGGAAGCCACTCACTAGGACGTATTGGCAGCTGCCTTGAGGGCATTCTGCCCTCTCTTGCGATGCAGGAAAAGGGCGAGCAAACCCCCAGGCTCCTGATTTAGCCTCTGCCCATCCAGTTAACCTGGAACGATAGTCACAAGGCAGCACCTCTAAGCCTGCTTTTTGAGGCCTTCTTCAGCTCACTGCTCTCTCTCCTCTTTCCCCAGCCTGTGTGTGTGTGGGGGGCCTCTGGTGTTCACCAGTAGCTGATTCTTCCCGAAGGGTGCTCAGGGAGAAGGACCTTCAATCTGAGATGCACTAGGTGTTTTAAGGGTCAGTTTATTCAAGTCTTCCTGGGATGGCTGTGAAGGATGCCCCTCCTTTGCCAGCGGGGTCGTGGCAGCCTCTGGAAGCCGCCCCAGAGCAGCCATAAGAAACCTGTGCCTCGTTTTCAATCAGTGATGCCCGATGTGGGGTCGGGGTTCTTAAAGTGCCCCCCAAATGTGTCCTGAGGTCCCCGACACTGAACTCTAGGTGAGCCTCTGACCTGGACCAGCCATGGCGGACCACCTGGAGTTGCTGGCCGAGATGTCTGCCGTCGGCCGAATGGGCACCCAAGAGCGCCTGAAACATGCCCAGAAGCGCCGCTCGCAGCAGCTGAAGAAGTGGGCGCAGTTTGAGAAAGAGACTCAGGGGAGAAAGGCCAAAACGGAGAAGAAGACCAAGACCAAGGCGAGCGTCAAGGAGAAGATGGTGGCCTTTCCCGAGAACATCCAGCTCCTGGAGGCCGCCTGTCGCCACGATGTGGACGAAGGTAGGGAGACCAACCATGGGGGAGACCTTCTCCATGTGGCAGGGGGTGGCATGGTCCAGAATACAGTCCCTGCCTCCCGTCCCCTGGGGGCTCCACTCCATCCTGCCACACCTCCATGCAAATGCTGGGAAAGATCCCTCGGAGGCTCTTCATCTTGCCAAAAAGGCCAGAGAATGAAAGGAGTGGAAAGTGGAAGGGGACATCAGTCCCTTTGCCCCTTTGGGGGAAAAAGAGGGGTAGGTGGGTCTTTTTTGAACACCTCTCGCCACGGGGCACCCACCCCATCAAGAGGCAAGGTGTTCCACTGCTTCATGGTTCTTCTCAGCAACGGAGAAGTCGCTGGGAGCAAATGGGCCAGCTCTGCATAGGCCAGGTTTAAGTGTCCATACACAGTGACGGCAGCAGCCACAACAACAGCGACGTTGTGCTTGGATCAGAGGGAACCAGGCAGGACCAATCCTGAAGGGTGGCCATCATGCCTTTAGTGCAAAGAGCCCTGGGCATGGACTTTATTGACCGAGTGGTGGTGGGGACACTTGTTTTCTGGGAATGGGAAGAATTGCTTTTCTGGACCACTTTGAGCGTCTCAGAATACCCCAGCCGTCAAGGCCACCCTGGCAGGGCTGAGGAGGAGTGGGAGCTGCAGTCCTGACTCTTCCCAGCTCCTGCCTTGACCATCCTCTCTATTTTTGATCATGTTTTTGCCTTCACCCACGCCTCCCTTTCCCCCCTCCTGCACCTTGGGATTGGGAACACATTCTGAGGCCCAGGTGTGGGCCAGGGGGCTGGCCTTGGGAAGACTTGTTGATATTGGGCTGGAAAAAGAATGAAAATGGGGAACGTCACGAATTCGGGCAGCCCGTGCTTTTTCATGGGCACCTGTTCCTCTCTTCGGTCATAAGAACTAGCTATGCAAAATGGAAGCATCAGAGTTTGGCTGTTCCTTCCGTGGTCTTGCAGAAGGTATAGAGACGGCCTTAGGGGGAGTGTGAGGGACCTGGCTCTGTAGCCAAGGGGGCCTGTCTTAGAGTGAACACCTGTCTCACTCTGTGGGCAGCACTGTGGGGGTGGGGGGGATACCTGTGCGTGCATTCTAGTGCAGACTGATGACACCTTTCAGGAGCTGGCTTCACATCACCAGTGATGAAATACAAATTAGGAAATCCTCAGTTTGGGAAGTTCTGTCTCTCCCATGAACCCAATCTCTTCTCCCCTCCCCTCAAGGAGTGGTGATGGTAATGATTTACCGTAAACCCCGGGAAGATGAGCCATCATTCGGAATACACTTGATGACACACTGTTCGTATTCCTATTCGTATTATTAGAGCGTAACGTTTGTGGCTAGGCAGCTCATGAGAAATACTTTGAAAATGATAGGGTTCTAATGATCACCAATCCCTGGACTTAGGCTCTTACCTTTGTATCGGCCCCCGTCCAACTCATCTTGCAAGGGGGTTGTCTTTACAGTTTTGGCCTTTTTCTGTGCTGTAATACTTGTGTCTGGGCTTCATTTCCTCTTCTGCTATGTGTGGTCCTTAGTCTTGCAATTTTCAGCCCCAGGGGATGACAAGAAAAAGGCATTTTTGAAAAGCAAATTTCCATAGCCAAGGGCTGCTTTGGAGTGACAGTAGGAAAGAGAATGGAGGTGATGATCAGGAGATGGACAGTTGCTATTGCAGAATATGTAGACTTTTGACTGATACAACACTCTTAGAGCACAATCCTATCCATGACTGTATGAGGCTTTGATTGCCTATATGTATACATGGTAAGGAGTATACATTTATTTTTGCATTGAAATACATAGGGAGGGGGGTGTTTTTTATTTGTACTTCTGAAGGACTTCCAGTGTTCTGTAAGAAGCGAGGCCGAAATCCCCGTTTGCTTTGGTGATCGCTGGATGAGCTTGGCAAATCCTCTTCTTTCCTCCGGCCTCTCTTACAGGGTGGTTAATAGGCCACTGTGTCCCTCAGAGCATCTTGGAAGAAGGCAGAATAGATGGTTAACCAAAGGAGGGAGGTGGGAATGGACACTTGGGTGTTATTTCTGCTTAGACTGTTGTGTCTTTTGAGGGCTGAAGTGCCCGAGAAGCTCCAGGTGCTTTCCCAAAAAAAAACCAAGAAAGGAGGGAGGGAAGTGCAAACCCAAGGGACTTCCTGCAGCCAAAACCTGCCCCAGCCAGAAGTTCAGTGACGGGCAACCCCCAACATCGGATGCTGTGTGAATGCGGCAGGCAACACCCACAGGCGTTTTAAGGGTTCTCGAAGGGGCGCCAAATCACGCAGCAAGAAAACTGAAGCCTTCCCAGGTTTCTCACAGACCTCCTTCACTTCTTGGTACTTCACTCCTTCCAACTGGCAAGACCTGCCTCAGGAAAAGCATCTGTCCTTTTCCAGGGATCCATTTCTGCTCCTAAAAAATCTGCCCTGCCTTTGTTGCTCCTGTCAGGGAGGCGACCACGTTGAATCTCTTTTCCCAAATGCTTCCCGTAAGCACGTTTTAAGGCATAAGCAGCACTGGGGAGCTTTTGGAGGAAAACAACAGAGAGGCTTAGTGGTTTTAAACCACATACCAGGGGCTGAAGAATCTGCTGAACTGAGGGAGAGGAACGTGGCATCGTTTGGGTTGGCAAGGTGGCTTCTTTCTTGCCAGCCCCACCCTGAAAAGCTGGTTTCCCCAGGGCTGAATCCGAGGACTTCCTTCTTGGCTTCTCTCCTCAAACCAAAAGATCTGAAACTCCCCTCACCGCATTTCGCTAACATAGCCTCTCCACCCGCGCGGGATTTGTGCTCTGCAAAACTGTTGCTTCTCCTTGTGGTCACCAAGTAAGAATATTGCACGAGAGTTTAGCAAGATACAGTATATTCAATGGATGGAGCTGGCGGTGGGGGGGGGGGACACATGACTTCTGTAGGTCTTCATTCTACGTGAGCGGTCCTGGTGCTGTGTAGGCGATTTGGTTTCCCCCTTCTCCACGTGAGACCGCAATCATGGCAACAAACTGAACAAACCCTGTTGCAGCCTATAAAGGCTGATTGAATGTGGGGTCGGGGAGCAAAAGCAAACCTCGGAGGTTCTGTCGTCATTCTTGCTGCTGCTGCTGCTGCGGTGGTGGTGGGGGTAGGGAGCCATCAGCAGTGGTTGCTTTTCCTGCATGGAACCGGGCCTTCTCTCCTGGCAGTATGATGCTGGATGACTTCCCAGGGACTAACAGGGCCAGCAGCTCAAGGATCAGCTTAAGGCAAAGACGGAGGGTTTCCCGGTCACCTTGGCACTGGCTGACTGGCGGCATTGTTTTTGCTGGGGGGTAAGGAGCTTGGGGTGGTGGTGCAACTCCTTTTTCCCTTCATGGCAAGCAGGTGAAGCTGCTCTGACCCTGCGGCTGTCAGTCGTGGTGGGAAGCCTGCCAGTGCTGGCCAGCCTGCAGGCTGAGGACGGCTCCAGGTGTGAAACAGGAGCTTAATGCCTGTTTTCAGATAAACTGCAGTAAAAACAAACACAAAAAACCTACCCAAAACGTAGAGCTCCTACCCTGGTTTATGATGGCCTCCTGCAACACCCACCCGCCTTCATTCCTTGCTCCATATTTTATGTGGTCCTCTTTGTTCTTTGACATCTCCTCTCTGTTGCCTGTTTTCTGCCAGGGAAGTGGCAGGCTGTTTCAGAAGGACAAGCTCAGCACCATCATCAGATGAAGCCAAGGCCTGGATGGGGAGCGGAGGTCAGGGTGGTGTGGTGGGTGCTCGCCTTGAACAGGGTGGGCCCCTGAGCCAGAAGGGGCCAACCCCTCCCTTAAATAACTTTGCTAGAGCAGAGAATGCAAAGAACTGCTGTGGGCACCAAACTTAGGCTGAAATGTCAGATTAAAAACGCCCCGGACAAAATATTTGCAGAGCGGGATTCCAAGCTTGCTGTGCAAGGTCCGTGGGTGTCTGGAGATCCTGGAAGTCCCTCCTTTGACTCCTTTCTTTTCACTTTTGTTCTCCTCCATCCATATTCCAGGATGGGCCAAGTGTGATCTTGGAAGGATGCATGGCCTCCAAAGTGGCTTTTGCACACTCCTTTCTCTTTCCTCTCTCCCCCCACCCACCCAAAATCCTGCACTTTGGCAAAAGGGAGGTTCCCCTCCCTGGACCCACCAGAGTTGTCCACCAGCTCCTTTGGCTGGTGGCCCTGAGCTTTCCCCAGGCAAGCGAGTCCAATTGCCTTCACAGACCCTTCTTCCACAGCAGAGGAGGCGGTGGGGACGATGGTGATCCTCCTCCTTTGCATTTTGGACTCTTGGAGACTGGCCTTCTCCCTGAGCAGTGGGTCAACGTGCAGCTCTGGGGCTGGCTGGTTCCTCAAAGATCCCTGCATGTCGTGGCCAGGACTTAGGAGCTGGGCTTCTGTGCGAAGCCAGACCTACTGTTAGGCATTGGGTGGGTGGGGGGCGCGGGCAGGCTGAACCTGAAGAGTTCACGATGGAGCACAACTTGCTGATTCAGTTGACTTTGGTCACGTCGTTCTCTCAAGCGCCCTCTTTCTAAAGTGGGAAACACAGCAACCTGTGTGGAGGGTGATTGTAAGGGTAAAGGAATGAAGTGCTTCGCTCCGTAGTGTTGGAAAAGAGAAACATTACATTGAGCTGGGTGGAACCTGTCTTCTTGTGAATCAAGAGAACAGCAGGGTCCCGTCTAGTGGGGCGGATGAGCCTGGAATATTTATTAGTCCTCAGCTTAAATTTATATTGTAAACTCCCTGGGGCAGGGGCTGTCCTTTCGCTTCTGTTGGCTATTGTGGGTGCCATGTTTACTGCTGGCACTGCACCAGAATGCCTGACAAACGGCTTTGTTTTCATTAGACATAAACCTGCCCTGCTCCTCCTTATGATGCCATTTGCAAAAGAAGAAAAAAGCGAGGATGCCAAACACAGAGACATTTCCTTTTGCCTGTGCTTTTAGTTCTGTCTTGGGGGTGGATGGGGGCACGCACTGACAAGTACTTTGAGCTGTGGACAC